GGAAGCCCCAGCAGCCCTCAGGCTGGAGCACCTGGAGCAGTCTTGGGAGGTGGATTGGCAAAAAGCAAGACCAAAAGTGCAGGAACTCGAGAGAACTCCAGGAATGGAGCCGGTTCCTCTTCCATAGCTCAAAATTTGACCCATGAACCCTGAGCTTGCTTTTTCTCATTTGCGAGTCTGGCCTCCGCACTCCTTTAATGAGGCAGCCCTGGGGCGGCAGGAGTTTCTTTGCACACAGCTTGTGGGGCTGGCTGAGTGCCTCTTCTGCTTGCCCACCTCTTGCCTCTGCACCTCATCTTCTGCCAGGCATGGAGGATCCCAGCTCGCCCAGGCTTCTTGCCTCCTGCTGCCTTGGCCCTCTGGTGCACGGGTGAGTCCCCAAAGTTTGACTCTTCCTCTACAAGTCTCTGGCGCTGGAGGTATTCGCCTCCTTCCCTCCTGCCTGCTATGGCTGCATAATTGTGAGAGATTTCTTAACATAGTGTTCCTGCCAGGGAAGCTGGGGACCCTGCCCATGAGTCTCCATTTCATCCTCACAACAACCCTGTGGGGTAGGTTAGGTAGAGAAGGGGAGATTTGGCCCGGGGTCACTCAGCCAGCAGAGTGAGAATACAAACCTGGGTCTCCCCACATCAATGTGCAACTCTGACCACTGTGCAGTGCTGCCTCTACTGATCTGTAATGTTCCAGAGGTGTTGTAATGTAATACTCAGTTTCTCAAATGAGTGTATGCCTGTCTGTTGGTCCACTTAGGAGTCTTGATCCTGGTTGTGTGGTGGGCTAGTTGTGGCAAATGGTAGGGAAGCTCAGTATTTCTGTATACAGTTGTAGGGGCTTTATTGCAATGTGGTATGGCCTGATATTATGTTCTTATTCCAGTGTGGGGTGTGTGGGGGGCAATGGAAGCTGAGTGATAGGGTCTCTCCAAGTGATTGCCAGAAGTGAGATGCATCCTGGTCTTGTGTCTTACAGATAATCTTACAAATAGTCCTTTGCATTTATATCATGCTTTCAAGTTTAAAAGGATCATAATGCTGATTGTGTGAACTTAGGCAAATCAGGAGAGGTAGAGCAGGAAGGGTTGCATCAGTGCTTGGTTCTTGTGGCCCTTTCTTACACGCCCAGGGAAATGCTGATCGCCACTTTGGGACCAGGAAGCAATTTTTCTCCAGGCCAGTTTGGCCCCCAGTGATCCTGGAGGTTTTTAGAAATCATATTCTGGGCGTGGAACAGGGGTCACTGGGGTGTGTGTGGGGTATTGGTGAATTTCCTGCATTGTGCAAGGGGTTGGACTAGATGACGCTGGAGACTGAAGAGAGATCCATGAGTGACCACTTTACTGAAATGGCTTATGCAAAACAGGTAAGTTCTTGTGGTCAAATCATAGAAAGTGGCTGTCTCCAAGATTTAGAAGCCTGGAAGTGTGAGCCAGAGGTCAAAATGTCTAACCAAGCACCTTGCTGGGAGAATGTGAATTGGCAGAGCCTCAGAGTGTCTCAGTCTTGAAAATGTAACAAAGAAATTCAAAACAGGTTTACAGTGATCCATAGAACTGCCGAAACTTCTAGGAGCTGTCAGCCCTATCTCATGAGGATGGGGATGGCCTGAAGATCCAATACTCGACACAATTCATTCAACTAGGAACTGCAGAATATACTGGACGCTGGTTTCCTCACACTGCTTCTGGAAGAACGTGGTGCCTTCTTCTTTCATCTCTTTTCCAAGAGGAGGGTATTATGAATAACACCCTCAAAAGATTGTCTTTGGTCTTGTGCTCCGAATCAGCCTCCTACTCTGATCGATACTGTAACAGTTGGCTGTTGCTTCTCAAAACGTATTGCACACTTTGTTCAGCTGAAGTGTTACTCGAAGTCCGTTTCACAGTAAACCCTGGAAATTGCCTCACAATGATTTGCTTGAGGCAGATTTAAGTGTTGCAGCCAGCCACAGTATTAAGCAACCTTAGATTTCAAAATGATAAGTTTCCTACTAATGTCACATTTCTTACTTGTTACAAACCTAGGAAATGCTAGAGGCTGGGCTTAGTTCCTTTTGGGTGACAGAACACGAGAGACTTATGATGTCTTTCTAATCTTTGCTTTATATACAAACGTATTAACAGAGCACAGTGAAGTCAAATACACTGATATAAGCTGCCAGCCCAGTAGTTTTCAGACAGCAGCTGTGGCAGCTGGCTCCAAAGGTGTACTGTTCAGATCCAGTGATGCACTCATGCAGGGCCTGGGCACCTTCATGCAAGGACTGTGTAAAGTACTGGGTTCGCACATGGAGACTTGGACTACGACATGCTAACTAGACGCGTTTATTGTACTTCACAACAAGAGAACACACACATACACTCCACCCGGGCACACCCACAGTTCCATTGGGGGGTTTGAATTTCCCTCCAAGGTCCTATTGGAGGACTCAGGGTGGTCTAGGATCCTTGGTCCCTATTGTGTTTGGAACCAAGCTAAGGACTGAGGCCGCAGACCCCTGGTGGTGGTCCGCAGACATAACAGACTGTGGATCTTTCCCACTTTCCCCTTCTCCCAGCAGTTATTTCCAATCCCAGGAAAGAGGATTTCTGAGGTTGGGAAACCAACATGGAGTAACAGTAGGGTTGCCAAGTCTACTTACCTTGGCAGTGGGGGAGCCTTGCCGGGTTCCGGAAGCTCTCCGGCGATGTGCGCGCGCGCCGCCAGCACATTACAGGAA